CTCGTTACGTCTCTGACTTCATCTCCAAGTCTTCTGGTTTGCTTTTGGTCCAAGAAAGATCATCGTGAAGGTTTCATTCCGTTTGGACTCTGTTTGGTGTTACTTTTCTGCAAAACTCCAAAATAGGCCAAAAAACGGAAATTGGCACTGGGCCCTCGGTTAATAGGTTAGTCCCAAAAATAATATAAAGAGCATATTAAAGCCCATTAAACATCCAAAGCAGATAATATAATAGCATGGAACAATCAAAAATTATAGATACGATGGAGACTGAAAGTGTGTTATGTCGACTAGAGGGGGGTGAATAGGTGATTTTTAAGAATTCTTCACTAAGGAATTTCAAGGTGAGAAAATTCCTAAGTGAAGAACTACTAGCAGCAGAATAAGTACTCAGGTATAAGCATAACAGAGCAACAACATAGTCATCATGATGAAATGAAAGATAAAAATACAGAGTACAGAAAGCGTAAACATAGGATAAGCTGGACGAAGACAAACTGACTGAAGAAATAGGATTGAGGAATTAGAGAAACTCTTCAGTCAAAGTCTTCAAAGAGTAATGATCAGGTTCATTAACACATAACTGAGGAAATGAAAGAGTTGAGGAAATAGAACTAGTAGGCTTGGTGAATATAATGATTTGGTAGACCGGTTCCAACTGCTGTAATAGTTGTACGTCTGGTTGGAGCGGCTGGGTATTTAAACTCGAGGACACACAGTCCCGGACACACAGTCCTCACTGCATTCTCCTTGAGCTAAGATCACACATGCATCACCCAACAGTAGTGGTAAGTCTTTACAGGTGACTTCCAAACCTTCACAGACTCGGTCACTCGGCAATCCACAATTTCTCTTGGATGCTCAGACCATGACGCCGGCCGTCTGGAGGATACACAGTACTCAAAGGTAACAAGCATCGGTTCCACACAAGAACAATCTCTTCAGTGATGCTCAATCACTTTGGGTTTTTAGGTTTGGGTTTGGGATTTGGGTTTTCCTCACTTGATGTTTTTTGCTCAAAGTCCTCGGAGGATGGGATGCTCTCAAATGACAAGTGTCAGTTTCTCTCGGAGCAGCCAACCAGCTAGTGGTTGTAGGGGGCGGGTATTTATCATGAATAAGCAAATATAAAATAACAAATTTATTATTACCTCTAGGGCATATTTCCTTCAACATGGGCGCTACTTATCACAACCTTTGAGTTTTCCCCTTTTTTTGTCGATCTGTCTATTCAAAACATTTTATCTCTTAAACCTTGCATCCAAATCTCTAACTGTTTGCACCGTTGGATTCTTCACATCGAGATCTTCAAAACTAGATCCCATGTTGATAGGATTTGACGCTTTTTTCAAGGAAAAACCGGACGAAAAAAAGAACCGAGAGCGTGTTTTTCCCCTTTCCGAAAGAGGTATGACTATGCCTCTCGAGCAAGCAAATCCGTGACTCTCGTGAAAGCAAAACCGTGCCTCTCGCAAAAGGAAAAAACACAATTTTTTGTTTTACTTTTTCGAGAGGCGTGGCCATGCCTCTCATGGAAGCAAATCCATGCCTCTGACGGAAGGAATAAAAAAACACGTTTTTTTTGTTTTCGAGAGGCACGGTCGTGTCTCTCACGGAAGAAAAGAAAAAAGAAAACACATTTTTGTTCCGTTTCCTAGAGGCATGGTTGTGCCTCTCGCGGAAGGAAAAAAAATGACGTTTTTTCACACAAAAATAAATTTCAAATGTTTTTTTAAAGCTAAGCAAGACCAATGAAAAACCAAAAAAACTAGGAAAAACCATCTAAAAATCTGAAAACGTATGCGGAAATATATTTAAAAAATATGGAGGTAGAGCCCAAAGCGCGACACGTAGCGGCGGCTGAGTAACCGGCTCCTCAATTA